CCACCCTCCCACCCCCTTCCCCTCTGGCAACCACCAGTTTGTTTTCTGCATTTGTGAGTCTGTTTCTGTTTTTGTTTGTTTGTTCATTTGCTTTGTTTTTTAGATTCTGCAATTAAGTAAAATCTTATAGTATTTGTCTTTCTCTGTCTGACTAATTTTACTTAGCATAATACCCTCTAGGTCCATTCATGTTATTGTAAATGGCAAGATCTCATTCCTTTTTTATGGCTGACTAACATATATATGTTAGTGTTCATATATATATATGTACACACACATACTATATATATATATATATATATATATATATATATATATATAGAATAATGCTACACTTGGAGTGCATATATCTTTACTAATCAGTGTTTTTGTTTCCTTTGGGTAAATATGCAGTAGTGGAATTACTGGATCATATGGTATTTCTATTTTTAATTTTTAGAAGAACTTCCATTCTGTTTTTCATGTTGATCACACTGATTTGCATTTCCACTAACAGTGCATAAAAGTTCCCTTTTTCCACATCCTCACCAATACTTGTTATTTCTTGTCTTTCTGAAAATAGCCATCCTGACTAGTGGGAAGGGATATTGCATCTAGGAACCGATTTGCATTTTGCTGACGATTAGTAATATTGATCATCTTTTCATGTGTCTGCTGGCTATCTGTAGTTTTCTTTGAAGAAATGTTTATTCTGGTTTTCTGCTCATTTTTAAATTGGGTTGGTTTTTTTGGTGTTGAGTTCTATGAGTCATTATATGTTTTGGATATTAACCTTTTATCAAATATGTCATTTGCAAATATCTTCTAGTAGGTTGCCTTTTTGTTTTGCTGAAGGTTTACTTTGCTGTGTAAAAGCTTTTTATTTTGGTGTAGTCCCAATAGTTTATTTTTGCTTTTGTTTCCATTGCCTGAGGAGACAGATCCATAAATACATTGCTATGGCTGACATTCAAGAGATTATTGCTTATGTTTTCTTTTAGGGGTTTTATGGTTTCAAGACTCATATTTAGGTCTTTAATCAATTTTGAGTTTATTTTTGTGTATGATGTAAGAAAGTAGTCCAATTTCATTCTTTTGCATGTAGTTGTTCCATTTTCCCAACACCATTTATTGAAGAGACTGTCTTTTCCTATTGTATTTACTTGCCCCTGTTGTTAGGGTGGGATTATTTTGTATCTCTGTCTACCTTGCCTAAAATTGTACATGTGGATAGTATTTCTTTGAAAGAATCTTCTGGTGTTAAAGTCATGTTTATCTTATCAATTGAAGTTCTTTTTTTCCTCATTAAATATGTAATTTCTTTGAGATTCTTTTTCTAAGGGCTCTTTGGTTTCCTAAACTTTAATTGTATTTGAGATCTTCTTAATGTAATGGGTTTGACATTTCTTTAAATTTGTATCTTTTGGGCACCTGGGTGGCTCAGTAGTCCCAGGGTCCTGGAATTGAGTTCCATGTCAGGACTCTGTTCAGTGGGGAGTCTGCTTCTCCCTCTGGCCCTCCTTCTGCTTATGTACTCTTGCTTTCTCTCTCCCTCACTCTTTCTCTCTCTCATGAATAAATAAAAGTCTTAAAAAAGATAGATTTGTATCTTTTCACAGGCACGTAGATCTGAAAATATTAATCCTGGTCATAATTTATTCATTCTGCATTCTACTGAGTGTCTGCTATGTGGCAGGCACTGTGTCGGTTCTGAGGATAGGATATAAATCATAGATTTCCAGAACTTTAGCATCAGTAGGGATTATTGTCAGTGTTGAGATTTGTTTCTTTGCAATACTGGGATATGTAAAACTGAAGAGCTTGTTACCAATGGTCTTTATAGTGGACTTATTCTTCCTTGACCTTGTTGAGCTAATGAAAGCTTTATAAGTCCTTTTACTAGCTTTTGCCAGCATCTCTTTGGGCTTTACCTCTCCTGTTGAATATATCTCTTTAAAATTAGAGCTAATCAGAAAGCTGCCTCTTCATTCATAGATGTCTTTGCATAACTGCCCTTTTTATATATATATAACAGCCCTTTTTAATTTTTATAGAAAATTAGTACAGTTGTCACCCAAGCTTAAACTATAATGGAAAAACACACATGCATAAAATGTCATACAGAATGAAAGGTGCCATCATATAGAAAGGAAGCAAAGCTAACAACACCAACAAACCAAACTCAGAATATGTAGTTTCTACAGATTTTTGGACTTGGAAAAAATAGCACCATTATTTCTTTAAATAAGGAAACAATACTGTAAAAAGAAAATATTGAATATATTATATTCAATATTCAAATAATTGAATATAAAAAGTGAATATTGAAGGAGTCCCCCCCTTTTTTAAAAAAGATATTTCTTTGAGAGAGAGAGAGAGAGAGTGCCTGTGTGCTCCTGAGCAGGGGATGGGTAGAGGGAGAGGGAAAAGCAGGCTTCCCATGGAACATGGAGACTTACATGGGGCTTGATTCAAGGACTTCAGGATCATGACCTTAGCCAAAGGCAGCCGCTTAACTGACTGAGCCACCCAGGTGCCCCAGGAGTCACTTTTTAAGATGAAGCACCAAATATGATAACAGACATCCCAAATACTTAGAAGAAGAAGACTGTGAAGATGCAGACCAGGCTTGAGAGGCTGAAGCATGGAAGACAATAGCATAAACAAGGTGAAGAGCCCTGTGTGAGGCATTAAGGAGGACAGACTGGGCAGGTTCTTATGTTCTGATTATTGTGTTGAACTTCCTACCTCCTCAAAAAAAGAGAAACAGGAGCTAACATTTTCTGATAGAAGTATTTCCCTATTTTATTGACCAAGAAAAGTAACTCCTAATAAATTAAAATAAGAAACAAGATCATTAAATTGGTGAGATGGCAGGCAATGTGTGTGTGTGTGTGTCTGTGTGTATTAGGATTTGACCTCAGGTTTTCCTAAACACAAAGACCCATGTCTTTTCCCCTGGATACCGCACCCCATGGCTAGCTGCATTTAGAGAATTTACCTATCAAATCACCTGTGTGCTATTTCCTGTTTTTGATGTTACAAACTTGTGATCTACAGGCCTGTGTGTCCCATAGAATTCTTTCATAAGCTTACCAAATGTGATAGCACATGGTCAAAATACTTAGAAGAATATTGTTTGGACATAGGGCCTGATAAGTGGTGGTAAAAATATGATAGTTGTATCAAAAAAAAAAAAAAAAAGAAAGAAAAGAAAAGAAAAGAAAAGAAAGAAAGAAAGAAAACACTTAAAAAAGGAAATCCCCAGGGTTCCCTGGGTGGCTCAGTGGTTTAGTGCCTGCCTTTGGCTCAGGGTGTGATCCTGGAGTCCTGGGATCAAGTCCCACATCAGGCTCACTGCATGGAGCCTGCTTCTCCCTCTTCCTGTATCTCTGCCTCTCTCTCTGTGTCTCTCATGAATAAATAAAATCTTTTTTTTTTTAAAGGAAATACCTCAAAATTTATTTAGGTCTAAGGAGAATGATTAGCTTAGCTTAATTCATTTAACTGATTATAGAAAATATGGTTCTGTTTTCATAGTGCAAAGAAGGCTTAGACAACTTGGCATGGAAATCATTCTTGCTAAAATTTCAGAAAAAATATACAGCATTTGCTGCACTATATATATATATATATATATATATATATATATATATATATTGCACTTGGGAGGTGAACATTTTAAATGAAAAGTCAATGGAGAAGAGAACATTTGGCACTATTTCAAGATTTGAAGAAGCAAGTTCTTCCTCTTTCTGCCAAAAAGTATTTAGGACTGATTCCAGCTCATTTTTTTTTTTTCAGCCAAACACCTACATTTTGAATTTTTCAATATTTTCAGTATTTCAGAGCAAGTATGAAATTACTACCTTGATAACCTGGTACATTTAACTGAAATATCTTTATATTTCTCAAACAGATGTGACCCTTGTAGCAGAATGTAATTTTTTTTTTCTTTTCTCTTTGCTTACCTTCTCCATTTGGAGAAGGAAAGGAAAGAACATTTGGAAAGGAAAGAACATCTTGAGCAGATTCAGAACCATTTAGAGAGTTTTCTGGCCCACAATTGAACAACAACAACAACAAAAAGACTAAAGGTGATAAGTATAAAAATGAAAGCTCTATCTTTGACTTCTATATGATTAATATATGGTTCTCCATGTACTCATCCAGGTAGAGATTATCAAATGTGTTGGTACATTTTTTAAAATATTTTATTTATTTATTCAGGAAAGACAGACACAGAGAGAGGCAGAGACACAGGTAGAGGGAGAAGCAGACTCCATACAAGGAGCCTGAAGTGGGACTCGATCCTGGGTCTCCAGGATCAGGCCCTAGGCTGAAGGCGACGCTAAACTGCTGAGCCACTCAGGCGTCCTGTGTTGGTACATTTGTTGGTGTTTACCGACTTTATCCTAATAAAAAAGGCAAGAATATTCCAGTCTCCTTCTACAGCAATATATCCAAAGTTAGTTATCTAAGGTAAATGAATTTAATAAAGTATCCAGTAAAATATCTGTAGCTCATTTTAAATTCCAAAGAGACATATTGTATAATGCTGCAATTTGTAAATCTAAAAATCTTTTCTTTTTATTCTTCAACTTCAGAGTATTTGGGTGAATTTTCCTCATGTAAAAACCTCAAGGGCATACATGTTTCAGGGACCATAAAGGAAATGACTTGGAGGGTGGTAAGAGTAAATTATTATTATTATTTTTAAAGAAGTAAATTAGTTAACTTATCCAGTTGATTTTTTAAAAGATGGCTTAGAAATCTTAGAACATCATCATCCTCTTTTATTGCACTGGAGTTTGTGCCAATAGTTTCTTGAGTGATCATTCTGATGGTGTCAGACGATGTTTTATTTTCAGACCTAATTAGCCTTGTTCCATTTTGAGCACTATGCAATATTTTACTTAATTTTTGGTGATGAGGCTAACTTTTTACTTTCCGTTCTTATGGCTGATCTGAGAACTATTTGCCTTTACATAAAGGACCATCAAATATTATCTGTTGTCTACAGGGTGTGTCTGCCAGAAGATAATCAACATTGCTGATCCATGTTGCCTGAAGCAATTGATAAGGTAAATTCTTTATCCCCAAACAAAATTCCCCATGGGAACTTTCTGAGTGTATCCTCTAAGAACCATCCACTTTTCTGATTTGAAGAGGTAAAGAAGTAGTAGTTCCTCACCTATATTTTTATTGAAATTTGTTTTCCTATAATTTTTGGTAATAGCTTTGATGAAATACAATTTAAATGTCATACAACTTCTCCTTTTAAAGTGTACAGTTTAGGGTTTTTTAGTGTATTCTTTGAATTGGGCAACTGCTATCACTGTCTAGTTCCAGAACACTGCATCACCCCAGGAAGAACCCTATCCACATAATTACTTATTCCCAGTTCTTTCCTCCTCAGGTGCTGACAACCACTAATCTACTGTTTCTTTGGATTTACCCACTCTGATATTTCCTAGAAATAGAATCATAGAATATGTGACCTTTTGTGTCTGACTGGTTTCTTTCATTTAACAGTGATTTTAGGTTCGTCCATGTTGCAGCATTTATCATATTATTCCTTTTCATAATGAGTAATACTCCATGGAATGGACATACCATATTTTATTTATACATTCATCAATTGATGGACAGTTGGGGTGTTGCCACTTTTTTGACTGGTGCAAATAATGTTGCCATGGACATTTGTAGACATCTGTTTTCAATTCCTTCGGTTCTATACCTAGCAGTAGAATTTCTGCGTCGTATGCTAACTCTATGTTTAATAATTTGAGGAACTGCCAAACTGTTTTCCATGGTGGCTGTACCATTCCATAGTCCCATCAGCAATACAGGAGTTTTCAAATTTCTCTGTATCCTAGTCAACACTTGCTATTTTTTGTATTTATATTGTTTATATCTGTGGGGGAACAGCCCCAAATCACATTTATTAGATATTTCATAAAGAAATTCTGCTTCTCCCCATCTCTGCTTCACTGACAATAGTCCATTTCAGCTTCATCTTTACCTTGGACAATTACAGCAATCTCTTGCTTTCCCTTGCATGCAATGTCCACAGAGATCTTTTAGAAATATATGTGGCAAAAAAAATATTTCATAAAGTACAGATGCCAGAATTTATGATGTGGATACTTCTTTTTTTAATTTTTTAAAATTTTTTTATGATGTGGATACTTCTATATCTGCAAAAAAAAAATCAGTAGAATCTAAGCTCTCTAGTGCCCTTTGAATTGGGATTTGTATTTTTTTCAGTACATCTCTGTGTTTTGTTTTAGCATTGGTGGAAGGTATCATGCTTCATTTCAGTTTTATCTATTATAAAGATAAACATCAGTTAATCGGTTTTATCTTTAGATTAGAACAGCTGTGAAAGTCAAGGGGTTGTAAGATGATACTAATAACCACCTTTTATTGAGTGCCTCATATGTACCAAATAGTTTTCTTAGTACTTTCCATGTTAACTCATATTTGTCACAACAAAACTTCTTAATAAAGTAGATATGATTATTATTAAATTTATTTTCACACTATGCAATAGAGTTGCAGAGCAGTTAAATAACTTACCCGAGGTCACACAGCTAGTGGGTGGTAGAGCCAGGATTCTAACCATGGAGTCTGTTCCAGAACCCACATGCATAGCCACGAAGCTATAGTGCCTTTCTGTCTCACTTGTCATCTGAAATATATAAAACTTAAAATAAAAAGTTTACCATTTTGAGATGTTCAACATGGGTTAGTGTAGGTTAAATAGTTTCACATTTTTATTTTTATTTTTTTTTAAAGGTTTCAGTTTATTTTTTTTTTCTTTCTTTTTTTTTTTTTTATTTATTTATGATAGTCACAGAGAGAGGGAGAGAGGCAGAGACACAGGCAGAGGGAGAAGCAGGCTCCATGCACCGGGAGCCCGACGTGGGATTCGATCCCGAGTCTCCAGGATCGCGCCCTGGGCCAAAGGCAGGCGCCAAACCGCTGCGCCACCCAGGGATCCCAGTTTCACATTTTTATTAATTCTTGCCTGGCATCATTGTATACAGTTAGAAGTTCGCATATTAAAAACTTCCTATTTTTACTAAGCAGAAGGTAACAAAATCAGTCCTGACACACTTTAAAACAAAAACAAAAACAGTAGCTTGGGCGAAAAAGTGCTGGACTACTTCAGGGATGACTTCCAAAAGACAGAAAAATAACATTTCTAGAAATTTTTACGACAGCCAATGTCCTATTATTATATTGCCTGCCAGTTTGTGTGCTCCTTCCTCTTCCACCCCACCTCTTTTTAACCATCTAACGGAGCATTTTGTGTTTCTGAACATTTACATTTAATTTGCTAAATGTCACCTAGGAAAACTAAAGTGGAGAGGACATCAGTTAATAATGTGCTCTTACATTCCGTCATCCCATGATCCCATGTCTCGCCATGGTGACCTAATTTGCCATGACAGGAACATGGTCCTGGTTTCAGAACATTCCAACTGTAGCAATCACTAAACCTTCTGGGAAAGTTTTGTCCCCTTAGCAAATTGAACCAGATTGCATTTCTCAGGACCATTTCAGATGGGTGTCTGTGACAAGGCAGGGGGCTCTGGTGGAGAGTCAAGGGGTGTCTCTTTTATATATAAACATACAATGAAGCATAATGGCAATGGGTATCATTACAGAGTGCCTGACTTTTAGTATTAAAGTAGATTCAAGGAGACAAAAAAATTTAAAAGTATGTTTTATTAACCCTTCCTAGCCTTGTGGCCTTGGACAAAGCTCTCAGTTTTCTCAACTCTAAGATGGAAATAATAATAATACCTATATATAATAATGGTAAGATCTATATTTCAAACTAGATACGGATTCCCCCTAAATAGTAGCATTTTGAATAATACTCAGGACTTGAAAATATTAATTCTAATTATTGTAATTTCAACTTTAATGCATTTATTTTGAAATAAGTGTTCATTCTATGTTCATAAGTAATTTCAAATATTTTGGCTAGCTCAGAAAGTACAATATGTAGTTTGTATCGTATTTTTATAACAATTTATGGTGCATTGGTACTTGATCATAGGTATGTAATCTTACTTACGTATATCCTAGGCTTCTCCAGCCCACAGATAGAAGTGACTCTTCATCAAGATTAAGAGTTGACTTTAGAGTGTCTGGATCCCACATGTTTGACCCAGGGTGTCAGCTCCCACCCTATTGTGTTTCTTCTGGGGGCCCCAAGTGTCAGGGAGACTTTTGTTCTTGTTCTACTATTTGGGCTTCCTCATCAAGATGCCTCACCCCCCCAAAGCCCCAGTCTGGGAGCCCTAACGAGCTGTCTCCAGCTGTCCTACTGAGAGCACGCCTAAAGCAAGAACATCTGCTCCCCAACTTTCGGTCAACCTTTGTCACTGAGGCCCTGATAGGATACTACCTGAGTGCAAAATCTTGGTTATTGTCTTTCCAATCCTCTTATAGGAGAGTATCACAAAGGGGGGGACTGAATCATGTTATCTCCATCATTTCAACATTTCACTTCCAAGTGTGAACCACAGGCTTATTGCCCAGGGAGGAAGAACCCCAATGTTGCCTGGAATAGGAGGATTTGAATTAACATCGATATATAGATAGATAGATAGATAGATAGATAGATAGATAGAAATATATATGTTAACTTCTAGTGAGGCTATGGCTTTGCGGAGGAGACTAGAGAAGCAGGACTCAAATATTTGCTCTAAGGATACCTTTTCACTCTTAAAGAATAATTGAGGCTGTCCAAGAACTTTTGATTATGTGAATCATCAATATGGACTTATTAGAGCTTAAAACTGAGAAGTTTTAAAGATATTTATTTAAAAATTCATTTTAACATGTCAATAGCAAACCCCTTACATGTTAACATGTTAGCATAAATAACATAGTTTCATTTAAAAAAAAAAAAGATAATATCTTAAACCAGAAAAAAATAGTGAGAAGAGTGGTAGTTTTAACATTTTTGCAAATGTCTGGCTTAATAGAAGACAGCTGGAGTCACATATCTGCTTCTGTGTTCAGTCCTTAGTGGAATCACACCCCACACAGCTCCTGGAAAACCACAGTGTATACTCATAAAAGAATGAGAATGAAAATGGCAAATAATATATTAGTGTTTTGAGAATGGTTTAGATCTTGCCCCTGAGTGGGGCTCACTGATGTCACTGGGAGAAGGCCTCAGCCACAGCTTAAGGATTTGACTCTATGTGGATATCCCAGAATAAAATGTGGACAAGAGCTGCCATTGTCCTGCCGTTGTCAGCCTTAGGGATTGTGGGAAGGATAATGTGAGGAGCAAGTTAGAGAGGTAGGGATGGGATATATCTGGTCCTCTTGCTGGGGCCAAGTCCTGCCTCTGTGGCTTTGGGAGCTGTCTCTACCAATTGCCGTCCCTGGGAGGTACCTCAGAGGAGGGCGGGCATGCTTTGGTGAGAGCAGGGTGAGTGTAGCTTTCTCAGATTGTACCTTGTACCCAGGTGGACCAGACTGGATGATGAAAGGGGATGGATGAGTGGGAAGGTGCCAGGGTAAATCACGGTGGGGGGATGAAGTGGCTCTGTCACTGAGGGCTATGGGCAGACTTCCCCGGACCAGAACCAAGGGGAGCTCACAGTCCCATCTCAGGGCTACTGAGCATCTGTAGGCACCAAGCCGGGACCTGATAAGCTAGGACAGCTACAGACCCTGACCTAATAACAGGAGAATTGACTGCAGGTACTAAGGGGAGGGAGGCAGTGGCTACCAGGCAGTGACAGTTGTTGCCCGAGGATGGTGAAAAGACCTGAGCGTGAGTCCCCTCTACCTCTTCCTGTCACATGCTTAGTTACCATCTTGGAGAGAAGCAGACTGTGAGGGAAGAAATCAAACAGGTTGATTTTTATGCAAAAAAAAAAAAAAGGCTCAGTTACCTTTTTTTTTTTTTAAGATGAAATCAATAGATTGCCAAAATTAATATAGTAGTATTATACTACTCAGCGTGTTTGGATTTTTCTTCCCCTGCTACCTAATTCATTGCGACCTTGTAAGTAAGCTCAGAGAGGCATAGAAAAATATAAAGACACTATATTTCTTTGCATATTTGAGTGAAGTGTACTTAAATTAGCAAACCCACCACAGCTCAAAAGAGGAAGGACATTGCACTTTTTCTCCGTTCCCCTCACCTCTCCCTGTGTCTGTGTCCAAAACTTCTCACCTCCTTTTAGCCTCAGACAAGATGCTCATGCATATTGCCTTTTATATATAGACACTGCCCAGGTTACTGATCTGTCAATTCCCAATCAAACTTTTTGAGTCTGTAATAACTAGAAAACTTTACTATGTCTATGTGTAGACATATAATTTTAAGAGTAGATTCTGGGCAGCCCGGGTGGCTCAGTGGTTTAGCGCCGCCTTCAGCCCAGGGTGTGATCCTGGAGACTTGGGATCGAGTCCCACGTCGGGCTCCCTGCATGGAGCCTGCTTCTCCCTCTGCCTGGGTCTCTGCCTCTCTCTGTGTCTCTCATGAATAAATAGATTTTTTTTAAAAAGTAGGTTCTATTCAGTCTTTGAATTGTCAGTGTTGTAAGACTCTAGCACCAAAGTATTTGTGTCCATGAAGCAAGTAGCTTGAGTCCCCCCCCCCACTATTATTCTTCCTTCACAAATTTTATTTATAATCATGTACCCAATCTGCATGACTAATGTGATATTCTGGATTTTTGCCATTAGGTAGGTCCTCTAGACCTTCTATCCATTTTACTTAGTGGGGTACACAGAGGGATGGTGAAAAGTGAGGGTAGGTGTTTGCTGCTCTGGTTCCTTCCTGTAGAGTTGCCCAGGGCAGCTGCATACCTAAATCTAAGGACACAGGCTCTGTCAGGTGGTCCTCTCTTCACAGCTTCTCTTGTCTCTTTGCTCCTAGACCTGGGATGATAATGGCCAACCATTCCTACTAATCCGGGGTACTGTATTCTCCCTACACCTTCCCTGTGTTCTGCCCACAGCTTTGTAAATAGTTTATTGAACTTTCTTCTCAATGCAGAGTGAGCCATCTGTTTGTACCAGGACCATGACTCGCATGTGTGGGGTCTCGTATGTGTTGGGTAACATAAGCCACTCTTACCTTATTTATAAATGTTGCATCTAGAACCCAGAATATGAAATGATCTAGGCATGGACAGCTTGGTTCCTAAGTCTAGAACTTGCAGATCCTACTTCTGCAAGAGAAGGGGGAATCCTTTGGATCCTATCTCTGGAACTTGTAAGTGCTGTTTCTTCCCTCCGTCTCTCCCTCCTTTCCTTCCTTCCTCCCTCCCTCTTTTCCTTCCTTCTCAAACGTTAAGTTTCAATCAGCTAAACTCCATCTCAACAATCTTTTGTATGGCAATAGTAAAAGAGTTTTGAGACAGTTAATGTCATTGACTAGGTTTTTTTTTTTTTTCCACTTGAACCAAGATAGAGCTTTTAAGACAGTTCTTTCTTATCCTGGGTGATAGGAATTCAGTGGCTACAATCTTTCAGAGGTCAGGGCCCATACATGAGGGAAAGCTGATGAAAATAGCTCTTCAGTTAAATGGGGGTAAAACTGGTGGTGTAGAACAGTAATTGATAAGAATAGGGTTTTGGTTAGGAACATCTTACATTTACGGTCAGTTAAAGATAGTGAAATCTGCCCAGGAGAATTCTGAATCTGAATTGGCACAGCAGAGAAAGCATCAAATCAAGTTAATCATCCCTTAAATAAAGAGCAAGCATTAGATCTCAAGCTAATATTATAACCGAGACTTTGTAAAAGCTATCTTGAATATTACATGAAGATGGCTGTCAAGATAACTGTGTATTCAATAGCATATCAAGGATTTTTCTATTGACAGGATAAAACAGTGGGGCTAGTGCAGCTGCTAGTGTGATAAGGCTGCTCTCCTTACTTGTGCTTGGAGTGAGCCTGCCACAGGAGTCTCATTTGCATTGTATTTCATACAGGAATTCTTGTTTCTCTGAAGTAGTACAGTAAAAATGTTCAAAATATGGAAGCTTTAATTTATACTTTCTCAGTGTGTAAACACTGGATATTTATTTTTTTTAATTTTTTTAATTTTATTATTTATGATAGTCACACACAGAGAGAGAGAGAGGCAGAGACACAGGCAGAGGGAGAAGCAGGCTCCATGCGCCGGGAGCCCGACGTGGGATTCGATCCCGGGTCTCCAGGATCACGCCCTGGGCCAAAGGCAGGTGCCAAACTGCTGTGCCACCCAGGGATCCCAACACTGGATATTTAAAACAGGGATCTCACCTATGGAGGCTATTTCACTGCAAGTGATTTAGTCAATCAACAAATTACTACTGGTCGCCTTCCTGTGGTTTTTGAGAAGTGTACCTTAAGCACTGGGCTTTGTTTCACATCTCCCACACCATTCCGAAGCATTTAGTTCTATGAAATTTTGATCTGAGCCGACCACCAACTTTGAGACAATCCTCTGCATCAGAGACTCAGAGCTTTCCACTTCCCTTGGATGCCCCTGATTTTCCACTTATCAGAATCCTAGTAAGCATTCAAACCAAACAAAAATGACAACTTCTCAGGAAACTTTACCAGATCCCCCAAGTGCTAATTCTCTTGATGTGTTTTTAGCATAAAATACCACATGTATCTTGACTTGACCCTTATTTCCTTCTACTTTATTGTAAAGGAGGAGCATGAAATGTAAGCTTCTTTAAGGCAGCTCCTTTCTTACTTAAAAAAAAAAAATCTAGTATGAGTACAGTTTCTTACTTAATCAAGACTATTCATGAATGAATTAGATTTGGTGGGGCAATTATTTTTTTATTAACACATTCCTAAGGTCCATGCCCAATGATGATATATTCTACACAAATTACGGATAGATCATAAGGGCTTAGCATGGCACATACAGACAACTGAAAGAAGAGAGATTGCTCTTCTCTTGATCTACCATTAAAAGAGAGAGTTTTGGGCAAAAATAAAAAGGAATTTCCCCTTCTAAATGGAAAAATTTCAATGAGAGTAAGAGGATTTTGAAGTTGATAGACTATGTAAGGGAAGATTCTTTGAATCACATTTATTTTCAACAGGTTGGGGAATGTGGAATTTGCTAATGATATTACAGATAGAAAATTCTGACTAGCAACAGTATCCTTGTTTGAAACCACTCTTTGGTGCAGGATTTTCACGCACAGCATGCAAATGCATGTCATGTTCATAAATCCAATCACAAATGATGGTTTTACGACCAAACTGTATTTCTTCCAAACAAAGTGGTGGTAATATTTTTAAAAATCTGCAAGCCCTTTGAGAGTCTTCAAAAAGAATTTCATCATCTTTTCTCATTGAAGTGAAGATATTTATAACTGAGAGGATGCTGTATTGCCACTATGGGGAAGAATTGCATTCCCCACCTAAAATATAGCCACCGATAGTGTACATGTTTTGCATTTAGCATTCAAAATATATGAGGAATAAGATCTAAGTAGATGCAGTAGGATCTAGAAATTAGCCTAAGTCAGCTCTGGAGACCAGATTTAGGGATGACTCTAAATCATACCCTTAGAGTAGAACGTTACTGTTCAGAATACTCTAAAATGGATCAGAAACCTTTTACTAGTTGTTTGTTTTTTAGGTTTTATCAGACTCTCTGTGGTTTCATAGGGGTGAGCTACTTAGATTTGAATGCTATCTTAGAATTTTTCTATAAACATTGAACCTGCTTAGACACAAAGTTCCCTGAGGGTCTATATCTGTTTCCATGAAGGTTAATCTTAAATTAAGATTGAAGAATATTCTTTTCCAAGAGGCATTCCTCCACCCCACCTCCTTGTAGAAGATAAGCTTCTAAAGGGTGTGTTTGTTATTTTTTTTAGTCCCATGTAAAACTGGATTGCATGTCCTCAGTGTAACTTCTAGGAACATTTATGGCATAATTTGGAAGAGCTCACTGTGATTTCAACACTGAAACAGTGTTTTTTGGAAGACATCTTCATCGATTTATTGACTAGCATCAATTTAACTATGTCTCCACCAGTAGCTTACAATTTGGGTGAACTCTGTTGTAAATGCAGTAGTGCTGTAGAGCCTCCTCTCTATGTCCTGAGATTCACTTTAAGATGAGCCTTCCTGTCATAGATTCTGTGATCTGCATCCTTGAGTGTACGAGTGGAGCACAGGTGTAAACACATGCAAGGCAGAGATTTGAATGTCTGAATTTACATACCCATCTTCCAGTGCTCTCGAGTTCTGTGTTTACTGTCATATTGCTGAGGGAGTTTCACCAAACAGCTGATGTAACTCTAGAGAATGGTAAGTGGCATGATGGAAAAGAAATAGGTCAATGATTTGTTTTTGGTAGGTGGTTATGGGAGTTGTCTCTGACAATATACCACATCTATGTTATGGTCTTATATTTTATTTGAGACCACTTTTTAAATTTAGGGCAAGTGGGGAATACCATCTCAGTGAGGAGGGGGTCTCCTGGCTTATTATACACATCCACTTTTGTTTCTGTCAGGAAGTACTGTTGGAACACTCTGGAAACTCTACATGCGTGCATTACTACTACAGCATTGAGGAGGCTAGAGATGCAGCAGGTGGCATGGCTTTGCAGTGCAAACACCAATATCCTCTTTAGGGCTATCAATTCCATTTGTGACATGTAAATCTCTGAGCAATGACTCCTGGCATCAGCTAGAAATATGCTCTCAAGATCCTTGGTGAGAAATATGCCTTTCAAGGAGTTTTGAAAAGATCAAGGGAGAATCCTTTCTGTTAATCAGTTACTTGATTCTTTCACAAGGCAGTGAGACAAGACGGTTAGAATTCCAGGAGGCAGAAATTATCCAAAGGGGTTTTCAAAACTATCCCTTTGGTTTGCTATGGTGATGAAGACTAGTAACCGAATAAGATTCATATGGTTTCCTTAGCTCTATGTTGCTGTTTTTTGTTTTTTTTTTTTTCTTTTCGGTGAAGTCCTCACCCCCTTCTCTGTTCTAGGTGATTCAGTGGCTATGATCTAATGACTACTTCTGGGGGAGCAATCATCTGCAACCTTCATGGAGGCCAGCAACGACATCCAATTACAACAAAGAGGAGATATACTTATTCTTTGATAGAAATAGTATTTGTATATTAATGTATATGTATACATAGCGTATCCATACAGAAAACAAGACATAGGAACTTTGTGGACCATCTCATGCTTCATCTGTGCCATGCTACAAATAATTGGATAGCATTTTTTTGGATGGTAAGGTACTTCTGGCACCTTCTAATACCAAGTTCAAAAGTTATTAGTAATCTTTTATAGAGCTCATCTCCTTCCAAATGCAGGTATCCAACCAAGGTCTTTGGCCTGCAAGACAGGACTTTTCAATGGTCGCTAGGATTAAGGCTCATGGAGAGAATTTTATAGTGGTTTGTTTGGACTTCATTGAGCTTCAGGGATGCAACTGGATGTTATTCTGACTTTTAGTCTTGTTTGTGAGCAGAATGTTTCAAGGGATATCAGCATTTGACTCTCCAAAAGTAAAATGGCTGCCATTAACTTCTCAGCTTCCCCAGAAACATTATTTAAAGCTCTTTGTAGACCCAAGTTTTAGAATAGAGGCTGTAGTCAAGTGCTTTTTCCTGGTAGTGTTGGAGTCAATATACAATCTTAGCTCTTGACATGTATATTGTTTTCTCTCATACTGATTTATTTGCCTTTGTTGGAGAAAATTATTCTGGCTGATTCCATCCTTACTCCATCAGCATCCTTGTAGGCTGAGGACAAGGTAAGAGGAAGCTATCAGAGAAATTAAACTAGTGGAGCCTCAGTGTATGAAACACTAGAACGCTGCCATATGACTTAGGTCTTCTCCAAAAACATCTATTGTCTCTCTGCTGTACTTCTACACTATAAATCGTATTGAATTGAAGAGCTATTTATTTATATTACTACTGAAATACTTGGACTTCATCAGAATTTTCTCAAATTCAGGGAAATTTCCTGACAAGTTGAGATATACAATAGACTCTCAACACAACAGTACATTGTTATGCTTTCCCTTTCTCTTCATGGGTAAAAGAACATTGAAAAAAACGTAGTATTTTGAGAGGGGTAATTGCAAACTGCCCTCTTAAGATATGATGCCATAGCAAAAATTATATGGTTCAGAAATCCATCTGGCAACTATGGCAGTTTAGTATTTTTGCCTTTTATATAGACATTACTATTCTGTGACAAATAAGAAATCACAATGGCAAACATTTTCATTTTGGGAAATGGGAAGAGGGATTTCAAAATCTTCCATAATGATAAACTGGCATAACATGAAACTAATATGACACATGAGTATGACTATGTTATATTTTCAAACAAATTTTAAGAGATTACCTTAAATACATATATACATTTATATAGTTTTATTTTGAAATAATTTCTAACTTACAGAAAAGTTATGCGAATTACAAAGAGACTTCTGTATACTCTTAACCCAGAATCATCAATTTTTAACATTTTGTCACATCTATTTTATCATTCTCTGTGTGTGTGTGCATTTCTAAACTGTTTGAGAATGACTTGGAGACATCATGCTGTTTTACCTCTAAATACTTCTTAAGAAGAAGAATATAAGCACAGCACAATTACTGAAATCACGAAATTAAGATTGATACAGTACTGTTTCCTAATATACAGACTTTATGCAAATTTTACCAGTTGCCATCCTTCAGGGCAGTGTTTTTTCCTCTGGTCTCACATCCAGTTTAGGATCATGCATTGCATTTAGTTTGGCTAACTTTTAATTTTGACATAATTTGAAACTTAACAAAAACACAAAAATATAAAGAACTTCCATATATCCTTTACCTAGATTCACCAGTTATTTTATACATGTATTATATATAATTAATATATTGTTTAAATAATATAATATATATGATACACATATACAAATGAACAGGCTTTTGCTAGATAGCAAGGTCAGATGAAATGGGCTAGAACTCTCTGAGGCAGAATTCAGAGTACACTCACTGTAATGAGCACTAATGTATAGAATTCTTGAATCACTGTATAACACATCTGAAACTAATTTGTTAATTATACTGGAACTAAAAAAGTTTAAAAAAATTTAAGAGAAAAAGTACATCATAATCTCTGAGCGAATTCACCTTATTAGAATTTATTCTACATGTAATTTTCAATATTCTTCCCTTTCTTTCATGAAGTTCTTTGAGCCAAGGAAGCAACTCTCAGATGTCGACAGGAACCTGCGGCTCAGGATGGGCAGTAGAGCCACTGAAGAATGTTGTGATTCAGCTCCTGCCAACTCGTGGTTCTAAATTAGAGGCTGCAGCAAAGGGAACTGTGGGAACATTAGAATGCAGCACAAAGAAGTCTTTTTTGGACTTTTTTGGTGTATTAAAACTTCTCTGCAGTTAATAAATGAGTTCATGAAGTCAGAGAGGACACAGAGATCTGGTGTGAAGTAGTGGAGCAGAGATTCAAGACTTTCGGGTCTAGTCACAGCCTCAATTAAACTCCCGGAGCCTTAGTTGAAGCACCTTGCTGGAAGGTCATTTTCCCCTGCTGACAATGGACAAGAGTCTGAATACTGAAGATTCAGCATATACTGCATCTGGTATGTGCTAATTTACTGGAACTATATGATCTGATCTCATCAAGAAACTTTGGGATTTGTCACTAGGCTGATTCTGATAAGCTCATTCCCTTCAGCAAGGCAAACGAGGAAGTCATTTATATAAGCAGAGATTCATTTTGGACTGACCTGATTCTCTGAGCTGAAGATGAGGACCCGGAAGATGCAATTTCCACTGAACTCAGCTTGCTGAATCAGATGCTAGTGAAGCTGTGACTGGCACATAGTAGGAACTCAAGTCAGCCTTGTCAAAATTATTTCCTGCTGTTGAATCTCCTCTAGATCTGTTAACAGTTTCTGACACTAATAACAAAATCTTTGAATTTTGTAAATAGTAATTGTCTGTCTGATTGCTTATCTATGTTACGTTTTCAGTTGGGGAAGTTGAAGAGAAGTCAAAGGACATGAAGCCCCAGCCTACCAATGTTTTATTTGCAAGCACTCTGAATTCATAACTCAGTGAGACTTGAGTTTTAAAGTTGCTTAAAAAATGTTTTGGGGTAATAGGTGCATTGATTTTTGCCATCTCTGCTCTGTCAATGCCTGGGATAACAATATATTTTGTTTGTGGTACTCCATTTCTTTAATTCAGTTCAAATGTTTTGTGATTTGTATCTTTTTCATTTGCTGGAACTTTTTTTTAGAGTGTTTATTTCTGTCACTTCTATTTCTAGACTTTTATTATTTACTTATATTTTACTTTACATAATGAGACTGTCTATAAAAAGTTAACCATTTCATGACATAAAAAAAATCATACGGAAAGAAAATATACTTCTACAGATATCAGATTCAATCTCCTACTCATTATATCCCTAAACCATCTCTAAGATCTCAGTCTATGGTTGTTAATGAATACATACATATGTAAATCAACACGTGCTAACCATAGACCATGAAAATGACAGGTACTAGTGTAATAACTAATGGGGGCCTTTCATGATAGACTTACTCTATTATTTTCCATGGAAAACATGGAAGGTGGAGGGAAAAAACTGGTGCTATGTAACTGAGTTTTTTTATAATAAATTTATTTTTTATTGGTGTTCAATTTACCAACATACAGAATAACACCCAGTGCTCATCCCGTCAAGTGTCCCCCTCAGTGCCCGTCACCCATTCACCCCCACCCCCGCCCTCCTCCCCTTCCACCACCCCTAGTTCGTTTCCCAGAGTTAGGAGTCTTTATGTTCTGTGTCCCTTTCTGATATTTCCCACACATTTCTTCTCCCTTCCCTTATATTCCCTTTCACTATTATTCATATTCCCCAAATGAATGAGAACATACACTGTTTGTCCTTCTCCGATTGACTTACTTCACTCAGCATAATACCCTCCAGTTCCATCCACGTTGAAGCAAATGGTGGGTATTTGTCGTTTCTAATGGCTGAGTAATATTCCATTGTATACATAAACCACATCTTCTTTATCCATTCATCTTTCGATGGGCACCGAGGCTCCTTCCACAGTTTGGCTATTGTGGACATGGCTGCTAGAAACATCGGGGTGCAGGTGTCCCGGCGTTTCATTGCATCTGAATCTTTGGGGTAAATCCCTAACAGTGCAATTGCTGGGTCGTAGGGCAGGTCTATTTTTAACTCTTTGAGGAACCTCCACACAGTTTTCCAGAGTGGCTGCACCAGTTCACATTCCCACCAACAGTGTAAGAGGGTTCCCTTTTCTCCGCATCCTCTCCAACATTTGTTGTTTCCTGCCTTGTTAATTTTCCCCATTCTCACTGGTGTGAGGTGGTATCTCATTGTGGTTTTGATTTGTATTTCCCTGATGGCAAGTGATGCAGAGCATTTTCTCATGTGCATGTTGGCCATGTCTATGTCTTCCTCTGTGAGATTTCTCTTCATGTCTTTTGCCCATTTCATGATTGGATTGTTTGTTTCTTTGGTGTTGAGTTTAATAAGTTCTTTATAGATCTTGGAAACTAGCCCTTTATCTGATATGTTATTTGCAAATATCTTCTCCCATTCTGTAGGTTGTCTTTGAGTTTTGTTGACTGTATCCTTTGCTGTGCAAAAGCTTCTTATCTTGATGAAGTCCCAATAGTTCATTTTTGCTTTTGTTTCTTTTGCTTTCGTGGATGTATCTTGCAAGAAGTTACTGTGGCCAAGTTCAAAAAGGGTGTTGCCTGTGTTCTCCTCTAGGATTTTGATGGAGTCTTGTCTCACATTTAGATCTTTCATCCATTTTGAGTTTATCTTTGTGTATGGTGCAAGAGAGTGGTCTAGTTTCATTCTTCTGCATGTGGATGTCCAATTTTCCCAGCACCATTTATTGAAGAGACTGTCTTTCTTCCAGTGGATCGTCTTTCCTCCTTTATCGAATATTAGTTGACCATAAAGTTCAGGGTCCACTTCTGGGTTCTCTATTCTGTTCCATTGATCTATGTGTCTGTTTTTGTGCCAGTACCACACTGTCTTGATGACCACAGCTTTGTAGTACAACCTGAAATCTGGCATTGTGATGCCCCCAGATATGGTTTTCTTTTTTAAAATTCCCCTGGCTATTCGGGGTCTTTTCTGATTCCACACAAATCTTAAAATAATTTGTTCTAACTCTCTGAAGAAAGTCCATGGTATTTTGATAGGGATTGCATTGAACGTGTAAATTGCCCTGGGTAACATTGACATTTTCACAATATTAATTCTGCCAATCCATGAGCATGGAATATTTTTCCATCTCTTTGTGTCTTCCTCAATTTCTTTCAGAAGTGTTCTATAGTTTTTAGGGTATAGATCCTTTACCTCTTTGGTTAGGTTTATTCCTAGGTATCTTATGCTTTTGGGTGCAATTGTAAATGGGATTGACTCCTTAATTTCTCTTTCTTCAGTCTCATTGTTAGTGTATAGGAATGCCATTGATTTCTGGGCATTGATTTTGTATCCTGCCACGCTACCAAATTGCTGTATGAGTTCTAGCAATCTTGGGGTGGAGGCTTTTGGGTTTTCTATGTAGAGTATCATGTCATCGGCGAAGAGGGAGAGTTTGACTTCTTCTTTGCCAATTTGAATGCCTTTAATGTCTTTTTGTTGTCTGATTGCTGAGGCTAGGACTTCCAATACTATGTTGAATAGCAGTGGTGAGAGTGGACATCCCTGTCTGGTTCCTGATCTTAGGGGAAAGGCTCCCAGTGCTTCCCCATTGAGAATGATATTTGCTGTGGGCTTTTCGTAGATGGCTTTTAAGATGTCGAGGAAAGTTCCCTCTATCCCTACACTCTGAAGAGTTTTGATCAGGAATGGATGCTGTATTTTGTCAAATGCTTTCTCTGCATCTAATGAGAGGATCATATGGTTCTTGGTTTTTCTCTTGCTGATATGATGAATCACATTGATTGTTTTACGAGTGTTGAACCAGCCTTGTGTCCCGGGGATAAATCCTACTTGGTCATGGTGAATAATTTTCTTAATGTGTTGTTGGATCCTATTGGCTAGTATCTTGTTGAGAATTTTTGCATCCATGTTCATCAGGGATATTGGTCTGTAATTCTCCTTTTTGGTGGGGTCTTTGTCTGGTTTTGGAATTAAGGTGATGCTGGCCTCATAGAATGAATTTGGAAGTACTCCATCTCTTTCTATCTTTCCAAACAGCTTTAGTAGAATAGGTATGATTTCTTCTTTAAACGTTTGATAGAATTCCCCTGGGAAGCCATCTGGCCCTGGACTCTTGTGTCTTGGGAGGTTTTTGATGACTGCTTCAATTTCCTCCCTGGTTATTGGCCTGTTCAGGTTTTCTATTTCTTCCTGTTCCAGTTTTGGTAGTTTGTGGCTTTCCAGGAATGCGTCCATTTCTTCTAGATTGCCTAATTTATTGGCGTAGAGCTGTTCATAATATGTTTTTAAAATCGTTTGTATTTCCTTGGTGTTGGTAGTGATCTCTCCTTTCTCATTCATGATTTTATTAATTTGAGTCTTCTCTCTCTTCTTTTTAATAAGGTTGGCTAATGGTTTATCTATCTTATTAATTCTTTCAAAGAACCAACTCCTGGTTCTATTGATCTGTTCCACAGTTCTTCTGGTCTCAATTTCGTTGAGTTCTGCTCGAATTTTAATTAACTCTCTTCTTCTGCTGGGCGTCGGGTCGATTTGCTGCTTCTTCTCTAGCTCCTTTATGTGTAAGGTTAGCTTTTGTATTTGAGTTCTTTCCAGTTTTTGAATGGATGCTTGTATTGCGATGTATTTCCCCCTCAGGACTGCTTTTGCTGCATCCCAAAGATTTTGAACAGTTGTATCTTCATTCTCATTAGTTTCCATGAATCTTTTTAATTCTTCCTTAATTTCCTGGTTGACCCTTTCATCTTTTAGCAGGATGGTCCTTAACCTCCACGTGTTTGAGGTCCTTCCAAACTTCTTGTTGTGATTGAGTTCTAATTTCAAGGCGTTATGGTCTGAGAATATGCAGGGGACGATCCCAATCTTTTGGTATCGGTTCAGACCCGATTTGTGACCCAGTATGTGGTCTATTCTGGAGAAAGTTCCATGTGCACTTGAGAAGAATGTGTATTCAGTTGAGTTTGGATGTAAAGTTCTGTAGATATCTGTGAAATCCATCTGGTCCAGTGTATCATTTAAAGCTCTCGTTTCTTTGGAGATGTTGTGCTTAGAAGACCTATCGAGTGTAGAAAGAGCTAGATTGAAGTCACCAAGTATAAGTGTATTATTATCTAAGTATTTCTTCACTTTGGTTATTAATTCGTTTAAGTATTTGGCAGCTCCCACATTCGGGGCATATATATTGAGGATTGTTAAGTCCTCTTGTTGGATAGATCCTTTAAGTATGATATAGTGTCCCTCTTCATCTCTCACTACAGTCTTCGGAGTAAATTTTAGTTTATCTGATATAAGGATGGCTACCCCTGCTTTCTTTTGAGAACCATTTGAATGGTAAATGGTTCTCCAACCTTTTATTTTCAGGTTGTAGGTGTCCTTCTGTCTAAAATGAGTCTCTTGTAGACAGCAAATAGATGGGTCCTGCTTTTTTATCCAGTCTGAAACCCTGCGCCTTTTGATGGGGTCATTAAGCCCGTTCACGTTCAGAGTTACTATTGACAGATATGAGTTTAGTGTCATCATGATATCTATTTAGTCCTTGTTTTTGTGGATTGTTCCACTGAACTTCTTCTTAAAGGGGAATTTTAAGAGTCCCCCTTAAAATTTCTTGCAGAGCTGGTTTGGAGGTCACATATTCTTTCAGTTCCTGCCTGTCTTGGAAGCTCTTTATCTCTCCTTCCATTTTGAATGAGAGCCTTGCTGGATAAAGTATTCTTGGTTGCATGTTCTTCTCATTTAGGACCCTGAATATATCCTGCCAGCCCTTTCTGGCCTGCCAGGTCTCTGTGGAGAGGTCTGCTGTTACCCTAATATTCCTCCCCATGAAAGTCAGGGACTTCTTGTCTCTTGCTGCTTTAAGGATCTTCTCTTTATCTTTGGAATTTGCAAGCTTCACTATTAAATGTCGAGGTGTTGAACGGTTTTTATTGATTTTAGGGGGGGATCTCTCTATTTCCTGGATCTGAATGCCTGTTTCCCTTCCCAGATTGGGAAAGTTTTCAGCTAGGATTTGTTCAAATACATATTCTGGCCCTCTGTCCCTTTCCGCGCCCTCAGGAACCCCAATTAAAAGTAGGTTTTTCTTCCTCAGGTTGTCGTTTATTTCCCTTAATCTGTCTTCATGGTCTTTTAATTGTCTGTCTATTTTTTCCTCAGTTTCCCTCTTTGCCATCAACTTGTCTTCTATGTCACTCACTCGTTCTTCCACCTCGTTAACCC